AGAGAAGCAGGAGCTGCCTCCCTCCTCCTAATTCATCAGGGGACTGTTGTGCCGTCTCTTGACCTTGCTCAGGAATTGTTTAAAGAAAGCTGGAATCCGTAAGGGTTTAATCGCTGTTTCCAGCATTGGAAAACAACAGGTTTAGGGCTGTGCTATCACTGCAGTCTGAGGATACCTAGTTAGACAAACCAAAATGTGCCATGGTTGCTATTTTTCAAGCCGACGATAATACTTTAATCTTCATGTACAGCCTGAAAGGGAGCTGCTCAAGTCAATGTTCTTGGGCACTTTTTTCTCATGGCTTTGTGTAAGCAGATTGAAGCAATCCCAGTTGCCTGTCACACACCTTCCAGTGAGCCAGGGCAGATAAAGGGTTTAATAAGGTTAGTGGATATATGCCAGTGCCTTTGATGGTGGGGTTTTTTTCTGCTTTTTGAATGTGTGCCTGTGTTGGGGAAGGGAGGATGTTGCGTGATGCTGAAAACTTGCATTCCTGAGGAGGTCAAATATCTGAGCACCAGGTGGGACAGAGCCCAGGAAGGTTAGAAAATCATGTTAATCCAGACTACTTGATGGGATCCAGTTACAGCATGGCTTTGTTCAACTTTATTTACCTAACGCCTCTCTTTACTAAGTGTAAGTAAATCGTTTTTCTGCTCAGGAACAATAACAGAGATATTGCAGCAATCCTAGATGCAAGATCTCTGAAATACCTTCCTGCCTTTTTAAATACAGGGGTATTTAAACGTTCATGGACGTTTCTTCTTGTAAGTTCTACGTTTAATTGCTAATGATTTTGCCAGACATTAACCACTGGTGCTGACTTTGCCCAGCTCGGTTGTCTGCTTCAGGCTGAGCATTATCATTTTGTTTTAACATTTCAGCAAAACCAGTTCAGCTAAATCCTGAGCTGGAGGAACTTGGGTTGCTCTGGCTGTGTTCATACCATCAACAAAAACATCCTATAGCCATTTCACTGGGAAGATCAAAAGTCCTTGTGCTTTGGGGCAGAGATCTATTTGACCTATATGTCCCATTTCTCCAGGGCTGTGCCATTTGCTGATGCCCATAGCCACATCATTAACTGCCTAAAATCTCCATGCTTTGTGATTTTTGGTGAAAACTGAGATCATGAATTCTCTGAAGGTGCTGCATCTGGGCTGAACAGCCTCTGCTTCAGCACAGCTCCTATGGGGAGGCACATTTAACCTGCAGGGTGGGTCCAGCCTTGCGTCAAAGCTGGGTGGCTGGTGTGAGATAGCCACAGAAACACCTTTTTAGCCAGCAGGAGAGAGGCTTCACAGCCCTTAGGTAGCCATAATTAGGTCAGACAAATCCCACTCTACTTCTCTGCTCTGAAAGCTTCCCTCTTGGCTCTTCCTCCTCTGACGGTGCATTGCTCCATGTCCTGGTTTCAGCTGGGATAGAGTTAATTTTCTTCCTAGTAGCCAGCATAGTGCAGTGTTTTGGATTTAGGATGAGAAGAATGTTGATAACACGCTGATGTTTTAGTTGTTGCTGAGTACTGCTTATCCCAGTCAAGGACTTTTCAGCTTCCCATGCTCTGCCAGGTACACAAGAAACTGGGAGGGGGCACAGCCGGAGTAGTTGATCCAAACTGACCAGAGGGCTATTCCATACCATATGACGTCATGCTCAGTATAGAAACTGGGGGGAGCTGGCTGGGGGGCAGCGATCGCTGCTTGGGAGCTGTCTGGGTATTGGTTGGCAGGTGGTGAGCAATTGCATTGTGCATCACTTCCTTTGTATATTATTATTATTATTACTATTTTCTCTTCTGCTCCTGCCCTATTAAACTGCCTTTATCTCAATCCATGGGTTTTACTTTTTTTTCTCCGATTCTTTCCCCCATCCCACCGGGGGAGGGAGGGTGAGCGAGCAGCTCTGTGGTGCTTAGTTGCCAGCTGGGGTTAAATCATGACACTCCGCACCACCAAAATCAAACCCGTGCAGGTTTCCTCATCATTATCCCTTAAAACTCATCCCACATCTGTGCCTGCCAGCCGGGATGCAGCAGTGCTGCAGGCTCTCCTCCCCGGGGAGGCACGCTGGGGTCAAGGCGAGGGGCTCTGCTAAAGCACAGGCACTCGATTCCGTGGTGCGTGACTGGGATTGAAGCTGTGTGTGCTCAGCTACACTGAGCAGCAAGTTTCATCCTCTCCATAGTTGGCTGTAATGACTCAGCCTTCAAGTGATGAGCTCATATCGAGCGTTTGGAATCAGGAGCTCTTCAGAGGAAAACAGCTCTGTAAAGTCTTCCTTGCTGAGTTGCAGCACATGCAACTGGGTTGTGGTGGGGTTTTTTTTCCCATCTTCTGTAATTTGTAGAAAAGTCTAAGTTCCACCTTTAGTGATAGAGAAAACATTTTCATTTCCAGCCTCTGGAAAGGATGTTAGAAAACATAAGAGGAGGATAAGTTGCCATCTGCCTCTCCACAGGTTATGATGAATTAATACAATTGAGAGCAGCACAGTCAAACAATTTTGAGCACCAGAAGTAGAAAGTGGGTTTGCTGGTTTTATCGCCTCCATAAGAGCAAATTTTGCACACTGTGAATTGATAAATTAATGCTCAGAGTCTCTTCTCTGCACAGTCTGTGATATGGATCGACTGGTCCACACACTCTTCTCCGTGGGCAGCACTCTTCCCCAATGCTGACAACATGATTATTGGAAAACTAATCAGCTCTATCTGAGATAAATTGCATTTCCACCAATTATAGCTTAATTGTTGACAGATGGGAACACAGAAGGGAGATGTGTCACATCATTAAGAGCACAGGTGTATAGACAAGTGCCAGATTAATTGTTCCAGCCCATTAAATCATTGACCTTTTCAGCATACCCTCAACGTCGAATTCAAAGCTCTCACGATATTTCCAGCTCACACACGATGACCATGTTTATCAGCAACGTTCTCAGGGGCGTTTTTAAAACACACAGGCTCCAGACATGGACTCATTAGCCACAAGCAGTTCTCCTTTCTCTTTAAAATCGGTTCTCTTCTTCCTCCTTCTCGGTGTTGGGGTTTGGTTTCCTGGCTTTTCAGTGAAATCACGCATGGTGTGTGGGCTTTCTCCAAAGAGTAGTTTTCTCCATGAAGCATGTAGTCATGCTGTAATGGGCTATACATTTACGGATGTCAAAAAGAGAGAGAGGTGAAGTCAGGACAGAGAAGCTCAGTGCTGGGCAGCTGTGCTGGAGCCTCCAGCTTTGATCTGGGGCTTTGGCTGTGATTTCCAGCTCCTGCTCTGCCTGGGATTTTCAATAAAGCCTGAGAGAGACAAATAGCTAAATACTGTTGAAACTGAGTCAGCCATGGGTGTCTAATTCCCCTAAATATGTGTAAAAAATGTGTCCTCTGCTCTTTTTCTGGCTGTGTAATCCAGGAAACTGAGGATGCAGTGCAGACACATCCAAAACAGCTTTGTGGGAGGTACCGCAGGTTTGAGATCATGATGCAGGGCATGCCTCATCTACCCTGAGCCACCCAAACCCTGCGCTCTCCTGGATAATTGAGTACTGACTCCAGATCTAGTTATTCTGGGTGTCCTGCCTTGAAAAATGAGGATAAGATTTCCAGCTGAAGGAAATGAAAGTTGCTGTGATGATAATCATGTTTGTTACTCCTGGAGTCCCTGTCCTGTGCCAATGAGCTGATTTGGAGATGTGCTACCCTCTGGTAGGTTTTAGAAAGACCAAGTGGAAAGCAACCCAGGGAGACAAGCAGGAGGTATGAGGAAGAGTTAATGCCCTTCATCAGCTCTGCAACTTCAAACAGAGGTAAAATTGATGCCGGGAATCAGGCAGGTCTTTTTCCCAGGGCCAGGGCTGGTGGTGGGCTCTCTCCCTCCCTTGTGTAGCACCAGTCCCCCACATACCCAGTTTGTCATAATAATATCACTATGTGTAACTGAAATCCCGGGGAATCATTTTATATATGTGCTTGAATGACTTTCTGTGTTCCACGACGATGATGCATCTTTACTGCGGTGGCCTTTACAGCCCTAGAAAGACAATCAGATAGGAGACAGGAGAACTGGATGAAGTTCTCTCTTAGATAACAAATGGTTTTATGAGGAAAAGCAGATAATTTTATGAAAAAATACAGTTTAGGAGAGATGGAAACTGCATGGATCTCTTTGATAGATCTGGTACCCGTTATATAACTGTATTTTTCAGTATAGTTGGAAGTGTCAGGTTGCAACAGGACCGCTTGTTCAAGTTCTTGGTGGATGCAGCAGCCTTGACCAACACAACCGGGGTATGGGTCTGCAGGACATGCTGGTGATCCCTCAGTTTCCACCACTCACTGCACAGCGCTAAACCCTGGACAGAGAAGGCAAGTGAATGAAAGCCAGCTTTTTCAGAAGATTATCCATAAAACTGGAGGTTAGTACTGAAGAAAGTACATGTATTTCTGTGTTCAGGGCAGGGAAGGAGAGGAAATTCCGAAAAAATGTCAAAAAAGAATTTTATAAGTGCCAGAATATTTATTTTAAAGATTTCCTAAACAAATCATTTTACCTTGCATTTTGAACTGGGTTTTTGTGGTTTAGAAAAGGATATAAAGTTAAAAACAAGTTAAAAAGAAAGGTTGAGTAACCCAAAGGCAAGTGAAACATTTCATTTAGGTTGGAACTTAATATTTGGGGTTAATCCAGAATATTTTCCAGCTTCTGCTTGTTTTTTTTGCCAACTTCCTCCTCCCTCTACCCCCACTTCATTGTTGCTCGGTCCAAGCCATTTTTTCCCCAGATATTTTGATTCAGCCACATAAACCAAGCAGTCATTATTCACTCCACATCAGTGATCTCCTCATTTCCAGCTCTCCTTTCCACTGGCCCATACTCCCAGAAATGCCGCTTACTGCGAACATTGTGTCTCCACCCTCAGTCCATCCGCCCCGGGGGGTTTCAGCCCCACCAAAGCTGGGGCTTGTTTCTTCAGCACGTCAACCCTCACCCCAAGCCATACCACTAGAAATCCTTATCAAAGAAGTCATCGAAGAGAGAAATTCTCTCTGTCTTGGTTCTCACAAGTGTAGGCTTGTGGTAAATCTTCTCTTCCCTTTCCCACTCCTCAGAGCCCGTGCTGGAGGTGTCCCAGAACAGATCCCTCGTCCGTGACTCCCTGCAGAACCACAGGTCAACCTTCCTGCTCTTGCCTGTAGAAAGTTCAGACCCATCATGTTGCCTGGGGAGTCCTCTACCCCATGTGTTTCCTTGGGAAGAAGAAAAAAAAAGTATCATTATTTTGTGGAGCTGCATGCCCAGTCCCTTAGAGTTTAGCTGGAAATGGCTATGGGCAGCTGGAGGCATGTAAAGAAGATCCTGAGAGATCCCTGTAAGACCAGCCCCCATATTCGGGACTGGGCAGGGTAAGGTACAAAATACTCAGGATTGTATTTGGTGAAATTATAGAATCTGGCAAGAGGCAGTATGGTTTTATGCTCAAGCAGAAGAGAGCTGAGGCCAACACAAGGGAGTAGGAGCAGCCAAGACTGTTCCCCTTTCTCCTGGTGAAAGTCCACTGGCAGACAAGTTTTTCACTGATTTAAGCATTTTTTACCCTCAGTGATACATTTCCAGCCTGTGCCGAAGGTTGGCACATGCAAGCAAAGCAGAACAGGGCTCGTGTCTTGGAGACGTCAGTACGAAGTGGCAGCTGAGACCCGCTTCGATTTCCCCTTCGTTGGGGACAATAAGGTCACCTTGTGTGCCCTGGCATCTCCAACCCCCCAGCTGCTCCCCCAGCCTGCATCAACCAGTGCCCCAAAGCTTAGATCGGAGTCACGGCCAAATCCAAAGCACCACAGGTCAGCCCTCCAGATTTATGCTACGTCCATCCCTGCTGCTCGCCCATCCTCGAGGCATGCGGGGGGATGAAAAGCCCCTGCTCAGTGTTTGCTGGCATCGCTGGCGTGTGGACCGTGCCGTGCTCCCTCCTGCGCTACGGTGTGGGCTGCAGCAGGGAGACATGCCCAAGAGAGGCTGAGATCTGTTGCTGTTAAATGAATTTCACCTGATGCGTTTTCACATCAGACATTGAAAGTAACACAGAGCCACGGCTGGAAATTGTCTAACTGGGAACATCTCACCTTAATTACACATCACCCAGAGCGATGCAAATCTGTGGTGGAAATTGCCTGGCTCTGGGCACTGGGAAGCAGTTTCCATATAAAACTGAACCTAAAAAGTGAGTAGCCTCAGTGACTGTAACATTTACCCCATGGTCATTTAAGGATGGCAGGAGTCCAGAGGCTACACCATGCATATGAATGCAACATATTGGTGGACTATGCAATGATGAAGCCAGCAGCAGATCTCTGGCAGCTGTTGCTTAAGCAGCTCATTCTCCATTTCCTTCTCCTGGTGGGCCCAGTTCCAGCTTCCCAATGTGCCCAAGAGTGCTCTGCCAGAGAAGACTTACTGCAAGGTTCAACATCCCAAAATGTATGTGGGTACCCTCCTTCAGTCCTTCATGCATGCCAAGGGGGAAAGGCTGACTGTTCTCCCAAAAAACAGTCTCACCAGGTCCCTGAAAATAACCAGCGATCTCCAATCATCCAGGTTTCCCTTTTGCTGCAAGGGAACATCACACTTCCTTTCTCCAGAGCAGAAAAATTTGAGATGTAACCAACCTGGTGCAGTAGAAGAGCTCTTCTGAAGCCTACCCTGCTTGACCCCAGCTGAAGATTTGAGCGGGTTGTTTGTACCATGTGCCGTGGTATATTTTGCCAGGGAGCCACACAGTTGTGTACCCACTGATGACTGCGGCGACCAGCAGTTCAGCCCTGCGCTCCCTCCAGGAAGGGACCAGCTCCGGGACTGCACGGGGCAATCGCTGGGTTAGCCTGGGGCTGGGGCTTGGCTTCAGCTCCCCAGCTGAGGATGGATGCATGTTGTGGTGGAGACTCTGCCAGTGTAACTCGTATCTTGTGCTTGAAGGAAAGCTGGCAGGGCACGTTTTAATCGGCAGCTGCCAGCCCTGCCCGAGTGACCACTGTGATATTGTCACAGCCTACGTCCACCTGAGCATGGCCCAGGCTCGGGCAGGAGGTGTCCAGTGCTGGGGCAGAGGGCAAGGGGCAAAACCTCTTCGAAGGCTTGATCTTCAGGCAGTCATTTTCCATTTTTTTTTTTCTCCTTCACCCCTTTGGCCATCATGTTGGTGGAGCTTCCAAGGTTCCCCCCAGCCCGTGTACTTTCACCTATGCAGCGGTCTATATGCTCATCTCCTGGGATGTTTTTGCCCAATGGACTCCCTGCCTCTCCAAGGACACGGGACCCCAGGGACACCCTCTGTCCTTGCACTCAGTTTGCCGTGCAGGGGACATGTGGGACAAGCTGAGACTCTTCTGCCGGCGGAAACCTGCTCCTGAAGGGGCCCGGCCCTGGGGACTTCGCTTTTATGCCCCTATGGCTATTCCATGGCTCTTAATTCACCTCTACTCAGGTCTGTTTGGATGCTATCAGAGAAGCAGCCCAGAGACCTGTGTCCCGCTCTGAGGCATCCCAACACTTCTGCCTTACGACCACATGTCACTGCTTTCCCCACCCCCTCCAATCTTTTGAACTTGCACCTTGTCACAGCAGGAGATGGAGCAGTGGAAGTAGCTTCCATAGGGAAACTTCCTCGATGACATTTAAGAGGCTGGTGAGTTTTACATCTCCTTGGAAAATTACTCTACTTACCACAGTCGTCTCCATGAAAATGCTGATTGTGCTCAGCAGGGACGAGGTCTCGGCTTTCGGCGCTGTTGTCCCTCTGGAGAGTGTCAAGGACTTTCTTCGGGCTGAATTCCTTGATTTTTTGTTTATTGATTTTTGCCTCCCTGTGGAGATTTCGCTTCAGCTCTGCCTGGGTTTGCAAACGAGTTGTCAACACAAGCAGCAGATGAGCAGACACGTTTTAACAGCTCAAAGCGGCATATCATTAGGGGGCTGGCACTGAAAATAATTACGCAGCTGAGCAGTTTAACCAGGGCAAATGGTATTTGCCAAACTGGGTATGTGACAGACTACAACCGGGACAGAGATTTTCTGGTTTCGCCATCGGCCACGGCCAAATGAGGCCAAAGCGTTGCAAAAATCAGAAGTAATTACTGATCATGGGGACCCCGGGGATGCTCCCCACCTTGCCTTTGCCTAAACCACCAGGAAAGCTTCATTTGCTCTTCCCAGCAACAGGCTTTAAGCCTCTGGGTCCATGGGAGAGACACCAGGGATGGGCAGACCCCCGTCAGAGAGGGGAAGCCCCAGCCTCTCCCCAAATCCATCTCAGCATTACCTCTCGGCGCCTGCGGGTCAAGTCCAGCATCTGCAGCTTGTGCAAGTGCTGCCGCCTGCCAGGGAGGTGTCTCGGGCTTTGCCCCCTCTTCTCCAGAGCCTACAAGTTGTTTAAAAACATAAATAAATACACCTGCATCTTCTGAAAGAGAAAGGAACAGCCACCAGCTCACAAATCCACGCCCGGCCCCTTGGGCGCTCCCTGGATAAAGGCAGCGAGCGTCTCCCTGCGTAGCCAGCTTGCAGCAATTTATCACAGATTTCCACTGCGCTTGCAGTTTATCTCACAGCTTTGGGGCATGGTGGAAAAAAAATCTTCATTAAAACAATGTACACATGCTTCTGCCCTCCCCGAGGTGTTACTGCTTTGAGTCGGCTGTCCAAGATAATCTCATGATCCGAAGGGAGGAACCACTTTTGCATGTTAGGGGTTGCAAGGGGTGTTTACGGCACACAGCGCTTGCAACCCTCTCCCTGCCGACTGCAAGTGGTGGGTGTTCGAGTTGCTCAGCCATTTAAAAAAGTGGTCCTCAAACCTTTAGCCTCAGAAATATTTAAGGTCCTCGCTCAGCAGGTCCGCCTCATGCAGGGAACTGTCATGCTGGAGAGTCAAAAACTTTCCTCTTATTTTATATCCTTTCACCCACACATCGGTGTTTCAGCCGGTTCCTGGGCTTAGCCAGGGATGGGAACACAGCCGGTGTAAACTACCAGCTTCTGCTCTTCAGCTCTTTGAGGCGCCTGAACCACGAGGGAAAGGAGCCTGCAGCCAGCAACGACCTGGGCACAGGGCTCAACCCATGCACTTACCTTTGGTTTTGGGCTTGCAGCCACTTCCTGCTGACTCCAGGGCTTTGCAGGAGCGATTGCTTGCAGAGGGCCAGCGGGTTCAAGCCTCTACAAGTCCAATATTTATAATATTCAGCATTGCTTGTTCCACACAATGATAAAACCTGATATGAAACTACCTTGATGTTTTTCCAGCTCCAATTCTGGCCTGGCTGCTTGGGATACAGGAAGGAGATTGGCATCTCTAGCAGATGCTCAGGGAGATGAACATCTCCTTAGGTGCTTTGGGAGTGGACAAAACTGGGGGAATCTCCCGCATTAGAGTCAAAGCAGCAAAAACCCAGTTTGACATTAGTTTCATCCCTGTAGGTATTTCTCTATGAGCCTCAGCAGTGCCCAGGGCTCCAGCCAAGACCAGAGTGAAGAAAAACCCCAGGCCAGATTGCTTCATGTTGAAGCTGAAGCATGGAGAGGTATCATAATTTAATATAAAGTCTCCTAGCAGGTCATCCAAGGGCAGATCCCAGATACCTGAGACCCAGAGCACCATTCCTTCCGTCCAACCAGTATCTTTTAGGTTGGCCTGAGTACGACCTTTCTCTGCAGGATTGTGCATGCTACAAACTGCAAGTGGGCAGAGACTTGCTTTACAGTCTGCCCTAAGCATGGGTTTTTATCTTAAGGACCTAAGTTGTCTCCTTAAATTGTGCCAAGCTACTACATGATACTGGGTCATTTCATGGCTTGATATTGCCAGTGTCCCCCTCCTAGGATGGGAGCTCAGTACAGCTTCCATAAAAATTAAGGGGAGCATCATCAAGGACTTGTTGTTCAGCCTGGAGAAGAGGAGGCTGAGGAGAGACCTTATTGCTCTCTGCAGCTGCCTGACAGGAGGGGGTAGGGAGGTGGGTGTTGGTCTCTTCTCCCAAGTAGTTAGCGATAAGACAAGAGGAAATGGGGTCAATCTCCGTCAGGGGAGGTTTAGATTGGATATTAGGAAAAATTTCTTCATGGA